GGGGGGGTGGGTGTCTGCTGCTGCTGTGTGCATCCCCAGGGGAGGCATGGAGGGCAGGTACCCCCCCCCCCGATTTTGTGCATGAGCTGCCTACTGTGGGCTTGAGCCAGGGGCTGCACCGGCCTCTTCCTGGCATGGGGCTGGGGCTGGGCCAGGGCGGGTGGCAGCGGCGCTGGGAGGGGGGCTGTGGGTTGGGCTACAGCCACCCCCAAAATTTGGTGTGTTTTGTGCAGCCCTGGCCCAGCCCTCCATTCCCCCCCCACTGGGAAGAGGCCAGTACAGCCCACAGCCCCATTCCACAGTGGGCAGCCTGCCCTTACCCCACACACAGATCTGGGAGCACATGCATTTCCCCCCTGCCTCCCCCGATGAGCAGCCTGCAGCTCTGTCCCATGCTTTGTCTCACCTGGGCAGCCCCTGCCCCAGTCCCACTCCCTCCCTCACCATGGGGGCTTTGTTCTGCCCCTGTCCCCCAACAGATTTACCAGCCAGATGCTGCTCTCCAAGTTGCTGGGCTGCATATCGGCAGTTGGCTCAGTATTGACTGATATGTCTGGTTAATTGGCTATTGGTATCGGACAAAAAAATATTTATTGGTGCAGCCCTAATACTAAAGATGTGTAATGCTCAGAATCCATTAAAATACATCTGGTATCCACTTTGCTAAAGATCCTCTGTTTCATACAGGAGATCACATTGTTAAAGCTGAATGAGTGAGTGACTTTGGACATACTTTAATTAAATAGTTTCTTTAAATAGCAAAGTCAGTTGCATATTAAAATGTGAATCATAAACTATCACCTAGAAAATATAGTCATAAAATAAAATTGCTCCCATTTTGCTCACCCCTGTAGCCTGAAGTTCAAAAGGCAGTGGTGTGTTTTTGAAAGAGGTGTTAAATGCATCAAAGAAGATTAAATCATATTTGATATTTTTTATGCCTTCTTGCATTATGAGCAGTGAAAGAAGGAGAAAAGCCACGCAAGGACATGCTGGTGAAGTGCAGTGTTATAAACTCTTAATATTTGGTCTTCCTTGAAGTTTCAGCTTCTTGAATCTTATGATTACAGCTTACATTTAAAAGCTCTCCCACCTCCAGAGGAAAGATTTAAAAATGTGATCATAAAGTCTAAAAATTATATAACAAGTAAAAAGAACCTAAAATTTATTTAAAAAAATGAGATGGGGGCATTTGCTAATGCATGATTTTTTGTAGCCTTTGAGGATTGGCAGTACTAGAAATATATGAAAAATACAGAGGGATTTCAAGAGAGAAATTGGTAAATTCACTGTATCAGTGTTCATAAAAATATTTGAGAATTTGATTTTGATGATTAAATCAGAATCCTGGTATGTTGGACTTTGTTCTCTAGTCTGCCATAGAACTTCCACACAATGATTTTTAACAACAGAGATTTTGTGAGCAGTAGCTTAAGAAATGCCAATTGTAACTGAAGGTTTATTTTTCAAAGTAATTTTAGTTTATTCATGCAGAACTGTGCCTACCTTTGGAACTTTCAGACTGCAGGGCTGAGCAATCGAGGGTTTGCTTTTTTTTTTTTGCTTTGTTTATGCATGGAATGGTAAGGGATTCTGCACTCTGATCTTTCTAACTAACATCTATTTTGGTGGTATATAATAATAGTTAAATAAGATACTTTTAGCTTGCTGCAATCTAATTTGATGTTCTTTGGATGAAGTATGACAATTCTAATATGGTTCTAACTGGATACTTTGTACTTGACTGTTTTTTCTAAAATGTTGCCTGTCCCATGATTCAGATTTTTTTTCTTTTTCCAGACTCACTTTTTGTTTGTCCGAAACCATGCAAATCATAGTAGAGGAGCTACTCTGTACATAGTAAGTACATGTAGTGGTTTGAATTCTATTTTTTCCAAGTCCTGGAAATGAGAGAGTCCAGTTAAAAGGGTCTTTTGTTTTTCCCAATTTGTTTATATTTTCCCTTGATCACCCTTACATTTAGGTATTTTGTTTCAATGTGGGGGGCAAAGGTATATCTGACATGGTGTACATGGCTAGGTTGGAATGATAGAATAGAAAAATACTGTTTGGCTGTTGGTCAGTGGAGGGGCATTCATAGGGCTTTTGTTCATATTATTCCGTAGAAATAATAGTATGGTATCTTTGTTGCTTTATTTTAAGACAGAATGTTATATATAAGCCAGAAAAGGAGGAAAAATGGCATGTTATTATCTCAGGTTAAGTTAAGCTTAGCTGAGAATTAGTTGTATAGCCCTCATGGCTAATACAAGATTTGAGTTTTAACTGGATTTGAACAGATTGACTGAGTTTCATCCTTAGTATGTTTTAGAAGTTAGTTTGCCTGCTCTTAGTCAATGAGAGCCATAATACGGGCTCTTTTTGGATCCTTTGTTGTCCCTGAAGTTCCAAGTGGCTTTGTTAGCCAGTTTGTTCATGGCTTTAATATTTTCTGTAACTGATTATTCTGATACAGATATCAGTACAGGCCTTGTGGATAAAGTGGCAGAATAGGACATGGGAGACTTAGAGCCCTGACAGATAGCTATTTTTGGTGTAATTAACATGTTAATTATACCATAAATGTACTATGTGCCACATGTTTAGCCAACTTACGGTACAAAGCGGCACACGAGCCACAAACATGTTCCGCATTTTAATGAGGAATATCTTTTTGGCTGGCTTGTATCCTGCCTTAAATCGCATGTGTAGCATTTGTCCCATACCCAGGGCTGCCTGTGCTTGATCTGGACTCCCAGCTGATCATTGGGATTTGGCACGGGGCACCCTGGCACAGGTAGCCCTGGGTCCCTATTTGGCCCTGGCAGTCATACAATTAGGATCAATTTTATACCTCCATTTCAAATATTGCCTGTCTTGCTACAGCTATGGCATAGAAAGGCACGTGAATTTTGGGATGAGGCAAAACAAATGCTCAGATCACAATTACTCCATTATTTTAACGTTTGCTGGGGGCCCTGGGTTCTAGTCCCACTCTTTCTACTGGCCTCTTAGGTAATCTTCTGAAAGACACCTCACCTCCTTGGCCCTCTGTTTCCTTTCCTGAAAAACAGAAATAATGATACTGATCTCTCTAAAGCACTTCTGGTCTGCAGATGAAAAGTGGTGCATAGGTCCTTCTGGTCCAGCTAATGCCCCCATTTGAAGATATGGGAGCCTGCATAGAATGCAATGAGTGGTTTGCTTGGCTGTTTTATTAAATAAAGAACCAGAATGTAAATGTGAAGGCCTGTTGCATATAAACTAATTTTTGTAATACTTTTATAAAACGATAGATGTTCCAGAGACGTTGGATATGTTTTAACATTTTTAAATATAGCATTGTCATAAAGAGAAGATTGATGATAGACACTTAGTAATGATCATTATGAAGTTAGTATATACTTAATACTGGTATTGTATAGCGAGTTAAATTTGATAATTGGAACTTCCCTGACTTGTCTCTAAAAGCCTGAGGCTTTGCATTTATCATTAGACTCAGGATTTTTGGTAATACATGGTTTGTTTGTTTTTCCTATTCAGGCTTGGGTTTTGCTTATCTTTGTACAGTAAATTAGTTTAGGAGGCGTTTATCCAAAGTGAAGTCCAGGTTTCTGTGTGGAACTTGCACTCTCTTCTGAGTGGCCACTAAAGGCTTAGTACCTTTGGCAGTATTCTGAAGAATTAATCTTCTCCCATAGAAAATAGGCACTTAATGTGGGTATATGAGAGACCATTAAAATAGGCAGACAGGAAAAGAGGTCACTTTTTTTTTTCTTTTTCTTTCAAAGTCACTTTTTTTTGTAAAGGACTAGTCTAATGTTCTGGCAGTGAACAAAGATAGCTTGTTGTAAATGTGCAGCAGTAATTAAAATCTGCAGTCATACATAACTGTATAAACCTTATTCTCTCTAAAATTTACCAAAATCTGCGCATAAGAACTCTGCATAAAATATCTCATAATCATGTCTGGGTCCAAAGAGAGGATCCAACTTCATGCAGCCAGGAGATAAAGATTTAGGTGGTTGGAGATTGTGGTGGTGGGGGTAGTTCTTCATATGATCCTTGATATTGAATATTCAACAACTTGAAAGAATGTCCATACTGGAAAATAGTCTAACTTTGCTTGTACCAACCTGAAGGAAGGTTTTAAATCTTGTAGAGAGGGGAGGGAATAAAGTACACATTTTTACCTACATCAGGTTGTTCTTACTCCAAGTGTCTTTTCAGATAGGACAGGGGTTGTCAGCTGGGGGTATGCATACCCTCTGGGGTACTTGAAGGCTCCAGAGGGTACATGGGCAGGTGGGGATGAAGTGCTGCCATGCACCATCCCATGCTGCCATGCAGGCACCGCCTGCCGAGCTAGATGCAGGGGGGTGGGGGAAGCTCGCACGTGGTGGCTGCCACTGCTCCACGTTTGGCCACATGTGCCAACACCTCCCCCCCACCCCCGTGCACCCCTTGCTCCACATCCAGCCACCAGGGATACACTGCTTTGTGTCTGGCTGCCAGGGGTACACTGATCTAAAAGGTTGAAAACCCCAGAGATTAGTAAGTGAAGTTTCAGTAGTCAAGGTACAAGAATGGGATGATGCTGGAAAAAAATTGATTATGCAGCTATGTTTTGGTGGATTATAACCATGTGACCTAGTTTATAGTAATTTTGCACTGTCACTTAGAATCAAAAACTATGCTAGAGGATTGGGGATCCAAACTATGTACATATATTTGAAAAAAGCGCTGAAATTAAAGTGGAAATCAACCTATGAGCCTTCTCCTCTAGATTTAAATATTAGTTGAGACACTAATTAAAATCATAAAGCATCTAGATTCAATATAAACAAGACAATAAATATGGCTTCTGAAAGGGAAGATTGTGCAAATTGTTTGTACAGTGTGGTGACAAATGCAGCGGAAAATAGGATAAAAGGCTCTTCAGACACTTATCTATAATAGTACAGCTTGCTTTCCTGCATATCAGGGAGGGAGTTCGATTTGAGTGAGGTGTGCTGAAAGCTTCACTCTGCCGGTACTAAAACATCACTGAAGTTTTTAAAGGTAATAAGTGACAATTTTCCAATGCAAAATCATTTTTGGATTTGAAAAAAAAGGAATTCTTCAGAGAAGTTAATCAGCACTAAAAAAGAATTGGCTGTTGCTTAGTTGGGAATGATCATGAACTGATTACATTTATTTTCAAGCAGAATGTAGTTCAGACCAGTAAGTGTTTGTATACACACTCTCTTGCTATAAAATGTCCAGTTTCACAAACCTGAAAACAGTTGAGCCAAATGAGCTATGATAAAATTTAAACAAAAGTGTAATTGATAACTGAGAACTATTAAAAACCTTTAGCTAGCTGTACACCTCAATTAATAGCCATAGTCCTGGCCTAGAGGAGAGGTGTAGACAGTTTATAAGAATAAAACTCCATGTATAATAGATGAAAGAAATAGAAAGTTTATTTACAGATTTGAATTTATATTAATTATTAAGAATTTCAGAAAACTTGCAAGAGAAACAAAAGGACACAAAAAGAAATCTGTTGCCAGTAAAGTTAAAGACAATGAGACAAATTTTCTTAGTATATTAGAGGTATTGACCTACTATTCAAAAGGTAAATTATTTATCAGCAATGCAAGAAGGACAGGAGTGCTCAGTATATTTTGTATTTGGAAATAGCCAGAATATTTATTCTTCATCCTATGATGATGATGTTGTAATTATAATATTATAATGCATTTTTCATTAGTAGCAAAAAGGATGCTGAAGAGCAGTTACTTAAGCTAAAAATCTTTACAGCCATTTGTTAAGAGTTGGCTGGTAGAGGAAGAGGGAGCCAGTGGGTAGCAAGGCAATAAGTAACATGCTGATTAAACAAAGCAAAATCTTGAATACATCAGAAGGACATTTCTTTATTTTTGATAAATTCTGCAGCATTACCTGAATCTTCTAATAAGTGTCAGTACTTTATAAAAAAAATTATGGTAGAGTATATATTCAGAATATTAAAATAAAGCTTAAAGGATTTTTATGAAAGGATTGTATGAGCAGTGTCCAGGGATCAAAATATTACAAAAATAAGTTCCATGCCACTTATTTTATTATGAGATTTGGCACTTATCTGGCTTTAGAGAATTGGCAAGGATTCTGGACCTCAAGTTTTAGAAGGCATTTGTGGTTAAATATTGGAGGGCTGACTCACTATTTAAACCATTTCAGGTCAGGCATCCGTTTCAAGAATTAAGACTAGATTCCTCTCCTTTTTCAGCCACACTGCTTGACTTTTACTGTAACCTTCTGCTCCATTTCCCCTAATTCCTACCTCTTCTCCCTCACACTAACTAAAATGCTGCTTCTGACATATAATAGAAACCTTTGCCCTGTGCTAGCCATATTGTGCACTCCTCGGATCCCATCATTGTCTGTGTTTACTGCCAAAAACGCATGCTCATGAGTGTATTTGAAAAGGATCAAGAATTTCCAAACTAAAATATATTTAATACAAAGCTTTTAATTGATCATTTAAAGCTACCTTTGGAATTATGCGCTTGAATTGCTACTTTCAGAAAGATGTAGTTAAAATGACAAGAAGCAGAAAACCATTAATCTTCCAGATTAAACATCCAGAGGAATTCTTTATCAAGAAAAAAAAATATGTAAGTTTGGATTGGCTAAAAAAGAAGCTAGTAGGGGAGATAGAAAATCTATTTATTTGGAAGGTTTAATTGCTACAAAGGGAAAATAATTGTTCAGAGTGGGTGCAGATGTTCCTAACAAGGAACAGTGGCTGAAATCGACAAAAGGTCTTAGCTGAGTTGGAGGCATGGATACACACAGCACTTAGAATGGTTTTT